TCACGATTAATTGTCTCAAGCGTGTCCTCTGAAACAAAAGAAATTGCTAATGAGGTAAAATTGCAAGCGTGCTAAGGCGTGTTAAAATAAATTCTTTTGTTTTAAAGTGAAAGCGTGTCGTGCGCGTGCTTTCACCTTTAGCATTAAAATCCTGTGGAGGGTCACAATTAGTTGCATTGGGCCAGTTAAACGTGACTTGCTATTACGCAGTATAAGCTATGGCTTTAAAAGTATGAGAAAAAAAGCAACAAATGCCATGTAGACTGCACAGCTACGAACGGTGTTCCATGGATGACTATTCCATGATATCATGGATTTGGAGGAGTTAAAGACATAACGACAACTTTTATATTAGTCATTGGTATGCCTGGGGTGCGAAAGGATGAACCGTCGGGGTACGGTCACGTGAGTAACAAAAGTTATTGGATGGATACATTACCAAATTTTTTTCAAGTATAAGGCGTTGTGCTCTACTACCAACTGCGTTCGCGTTTTCTCCTATTTATACGGAACATGTTAAAATGCAATAAAGTGGTAATGGTAGTGGTATAGTGGTAGTATTTACTACATTGTAGTAAGGTAGCAATGTCAACTTCTACTACCACTACCACCGCCGCAACCACCACCACCACCACCACTAATTATAGCGCTTGTATCATTTTTTCTATTTTTACCAGCGCATAAAAAGAAAAAAAAATACAATAAAAACAAAAACAAAATTAAAAAAAAAGTAAATGTAAATATGAGAGGAATAACATTGTAAAAATTATTTTGACTTCCAGACTACCTTTCCAAACGCTTTTGACATACCTCTCCAGTCTGCTCCTTTGTTGTTGATACATCGTAACCAGAATCAGTCATACTAGAGATCTGTATCATGCAATAAAAATTAGTTGCATTGGGTTAGATAAACGTGACTTCCTATTAGGCAGTATAAGCTATGGCTTTAAAAGTATGAGAGAAAAAGCAACAAGTGCCATGTAGACTGCACAGCTACAAACGGTGTTGCATGGATGATTATCCCATGATATCATGGATTTGGAGGAGTTAAAGACGTAACGACAACTTTTATATTATACATTGGTATGCCTGTGGTTCGGACGGACGGACAAACGAACCGTCGGGGTACGGTCTCGTGAGTACTAAATTTTATATGGATGGATAGATTACCAAATTTTATTAAGTATGGGGCGGTGTGCTCTACTACTAACTGCGTTCGTGCTATTCATACGAACAGGTTAAATTGATATAAAGTGGTAGTGGTATAGTGGTAGTATATACTACACTGTAGTAAAGTAGCAATGTCAACTTTTACTACGACTACCACCGCCCTTACCACCACTACCACTACTTATAGCGCTTATATCATTTTTTCCATTTTTACCAGCCCCTAAAAAGAAAAGAAAATACCATAAAAAGAAAAACAAAATTAAAAAAAAAAGTAAATGTAAATATGTGAGGACTAACATTGTAAAAATTATTTAGACTTCCAGACTACCTTTCCAAACGCTTTTGACATACCTCTCCGGTCTGCTCCTTTGTTGTTGATGCATCGGAACGAGAACCAGTCATACTAGTGATCTGTATTATCCAAGAGAAAATAGTTGCGTTGGGCCAGTTAAACGTGACTTGCTATTACGAAGTATAAGGTATGGCGTTAAAAGTATGAGAAAAAAAGGAAAAAATGCCATGTAGACTGCACAGCTACGAACGGTGTTGCATGGATGATTATTCCATGATATCATGGATTTGGAGGAGTTAAAGACGTAACGACAACTTTTATATTAGTCATTGGTATGCCTGGGGTGCAGAAGGACCAACCGTCGGGGTACGGTCACATGAGCACCAAAATTTATTCGATGGATAGATTACCAAATTTTTTTTAAGTATAAGGCGTTGCGCTCTACTACTAACTGCGTTCGCGTTTTATCCTATTTATACGGAACATGTTAAATTGCAATAAAGTGGTAATGCTAGTGGTATAGTGGTAGTATTTACTACATTGTAGTAAGGTAGCAATGTCAACTTCTACTACCACTAAAACCGCCGCAACCACCACCACCACTACTTATAGCGCTTATATTAGTTTTTCTATTTTTACCAGCGCATAAAAAGAAAAAAAAATACAATAAAAAGAAAAACAAAATTAAAAAATAAAAGTAAATGTAAATATGAGAGGACTAACATTGTAAAAATTATTTAGACTTCCAGACTACCTTTCCAAACGCTTTTGACATACCTCTCCGGTCTGCTCCTTTGTTGTTGACACGTCGTAACCAGAATCAGTCATACTAGAAATCTGTATCATGCAATAAAATTTAGTTCCATTGGGCCAGTTAAACGTGACTTGCTATTACGCAGTATAAGCTATGGCTTTAAAAGTATGAGAAAAAAGCAACAAATGCCATGTAGACTGCACAGCTACGAACGGTGTTGCATGGATGATTATTCCATGATATCATGAATTTAGAGGATTTAAAGACGTAACGACAACTTTTATAATAGACATTGGTATGCCTGGGGTGCGGACGGACGAACCGTCGGGGTAGGATCACGTTAGTAACACAATTTATTGGATGGATAGATTACCAAATTTTTTTTTAAGTATGGGCGTCGTGCTCTACTACCAACTGCGTTCGCGTTGTCTCCTATTTATACGGAACATGTTAAATTGCAATAAAGTGGTAGTGGTAGTGGTATAGTGGTAGTATATACTACATTGTAGTAAAGTAGCAATGTCAACTTCTACTACGACTACCACCGCCGCCACCACCACCACCACTTCTTATAGCGCTTATATCATTTTTCTATTTTTACCAGCGCATAAAAAGAAAAAAAAAATACAATAAAAAGAAAAACAAAATTAAAAAATAAAACCAAATGTAAATATGAGAGGAATAACATTTTAAAAATTATTTAGACTTCCACACTACCGTTCAAAACGCTTTTGACTTACCTCTCCGGTCAGCTCCTTTCTTGTTGATGCATCGTAACCAGAATCAGTGATACTAGTGATCTGTATCATGCAATAGAAATTAGTTGCATTGGGCCAGTTAAACGTGACTTGCTATAACGCAGTATAAGCTATGGCTTTAAAAGTATGAGGAAACAAAGGAACTAAAGCAACGTAGACTGAGCAGCAACGAACGGTGTTGCATGGATGATTATTCCATGATATCTTGGATTTGGAGGAGTTAAAGACGTCACCACAACTTTTATATTAGACATTGGTATGCCTGGGGTGCAGAAAGACCAACCGTCCAGGTACGGTCACGTGAGTAACAAAATTTATTGGATGGATAGATTACCAAATTTTTTTTAGGTATGGGGCGTTGTGCTCTACTACCAACTGCGTTCGCGTTTTCTCCTATTTATACGGAACATGTTAAATTGCAATAAAGTGGTAGTGGTAGTGGTAGTGGTATAGTGGTAGTATTTACTACATTGTAGTAAGGTAGCAATGTCAACTTCTATTACCACTACCACCGCCGCCACCACCACCACCACTACTTATAGCACTTATTTCATTTTTTCTATTTTTACCAGCCCCTATAAAGAAAAGAAAAATACAATAAAAAGAAAAACAAAATTAAAAAATAAAAGTAAACGTAAATATGAGAGGACTAACATTGTAAAAATTATTTAGACTTCCAGACTACCTTTCCAAACGCTTTTGACATACCTCTCCGGCCTGCTCCTTTGATGTTGATTCATCGTAACCAGAATCAGTCATACTAGAGATCTGTATCATGCAATAGAAATTAGTTGCATTGGGCCAGTTAAACGTGACTTGCTATTACGTAGTATAAGCTATGGCTTTAAAAGAATGAGGAAAAAAAGGAACTAAAGGCATGTAGACTGAACAGCTACGAACGGTGTTGCATGGATGATTATTCCATGATATCTTGGATTTGGAGGAGTTAAAGACGACACCACAACTTTTATATTAGACATTGGTATGCCTGGGGTGCAGAACGACCAACCGTCGGGGTACGGTCACGTGAGTACCAAAATTTATTGGATGGATAGATTACCTAATTTTTTTTAAGTATGGGGCGTTGTGCTCTACTACCAACTGCGTTCGCGTTTTCTCCTATTTATACGGAACATGTTAAATTGCAATAAAGTGGTAGTGGTAGTGGTATAGTGGTAGTATTTACTACATTGTAGTAAGGTAGCAATGTCAACTTCTACTACCACTACCACCGCCGCCACCACCACCACCACTACTTATAGCGGTTATATCATTTTTTCTATTTTTACCAGCCCCTAAAAAGAAAAGAAAAATACAATAAAAAGAAAAACAAAATTAAAAAATAAAAGTAAATGTAAATATTAGAGGACTAACATTGTAAAAATTATTTAACCAGAAACCAGAACCAGTCATACTAGAGATCTGTATCATGCAATAGAAATTAGTTGCATTGGGCCAGTTAAACGTGACTTGCTATTACGCAGTATAAGTTATGGCTTTAAAAGTATGAGAAAAAAAGCCACAAATGCCATGTAGACTGCTCAGCTACGAACGGTGTTGCATGGATGATTATCCCATGATATCATGGATTTGGAGGAGTTAAAGACGTAACGACAACTTTTATATTATACATTGGTATACCTGTGGTTCGGACGGACGAACCGTCGGGGTACGGTCACGTGAGTACCAAAATTTATCGGATAGATACAGTACCAAATTTTTTTTAAGTATGGCGCGGAACAGGTTAAATTGACGGAACAGGAAGAGGTTAAACTGATATAAAGTGGTAGTGGTATACTGGTAGTATATACTACACTGTAAAAAAGTAGCAATGTCAACTTCTGCTACCACTACCACCGCCGTCACCACCACTGCCACTACTTATAGCGCTTATATCATTTTTTTTATTTTTACCAGCCCCTATAAAGAAAAGAAAAATACAATAAAAAGAAAAACTAAATTAAAAAATAAAAGTAAATGTAAATATGTGAGGACTAACATTGTAAAAATTATTTAGACTTCCAGACTACCTTTCCAAACGCTTTTGACATACCTCTCCGGTCTCCTCCTTTGTTGTTGATGCATCGTAACCAGAATCAGTCATACTAGAGATCTGTATCATGCAATAGAAATTAGTTGCATTGGGCCAGTTAACCGTGACTTGCTATTACGCAGTATAAGCGATCTCTTAAAAAGTATGAGGAAAAAAAGGAACAAATGCCATGTAGACTGCACAGGTACGAACGATGTTGCATGGATGATTATTCCATGATATCATGGATTTAGAGGAGTTAAAGACTTAACGACAACTTTGATATTAGACATTGGTATGCCTCGGGTGCGGACGGATGAACCGTCGGGGTACGGTCACGTGAGTACCAAAATTTATCGGATGGATAGATTACCAAATTTTTTTTAAGTATGGGGCGTGCTGCTCTACAACCAACTGCGTTCTCTTTTTCTCCTATTTATACGGAACATGTTAAATTGCAATAAAGTGGTAGTGGTAGTGGTAGTGGTAGTGGTATAGTGCTAGTATTTACTACATTGTAGTAAGGTAGCAATGTCAACTTCTACTACCACTACCACCGCCGCCACCACCACCACCACCACCACTAATTTTAGCGGTTATATCATTTTTTCTGTTTTTACCAGCCCATAAAAAGAAAAAAAATACAATAAAAAGAAAAAACAAAATTATAAAATAAAAGTAAATGTAAATATGAGAAGAATAACATTGTAAAAATAGTTTAGACTTCCAGACTACCTTTCCAAAGCCTTTTGACATACCTCTCCGGTCTGCTTCTGTGTTGTTGATACATCGTAACCAGAATCAGTCATACTAGAGATCTGTATCATGCAATAAGAATTAGCTGCATTGGCTTAGTTAAACGTGACTTCCTATTACGCAGTATAAGCGATGGCTTTAAAAGTATGAGAGAAAAAGCAACAAATGCCATGTAGACTGCACAGCTACGAACGGTGTTGCATGGATAATTATCCCATGATATCATGGATTTGGAGGAGTTAAAGGCGTAACGGCAACTTTTATATTATAAATTGGTATGCCTGTGGTTCAGACAAACGAACCGTCGGGGTACGGTCTCGTGAGTACTAAATTTTATTGGATGGATAGATTACCAAATTTTATTAAGTATGGGGCGTTGTGCTCTACTACTAACTGCGTTCGTGCTATTCATACGGAACAGGTTAAATTGATATAAAGTGGTAGTGGTATAGTGGTAGTATATACTACACTGTACTAAAGTAGCAATGTCAACTTCTACTACGACTACCACCGCCGTTACCACCACTACCACTACTTATAGCGCTTATATCATTTTTTCTCTTTTTACCAGCCCCTAAAAAGAAAATAAAATACGATGAAAAGAAAAAAACAATTAAAAAAAAAAGTAAATGTAAATATGTGAGGACTAACATTGTAAAAATTATTTAGACATCCAGATTACCTTTCCAAACGCTTTTGACATACCTCTCCGGTCTGCTCCTTTGTTGTTGAGGCATCGGAACGAGAACCAGTCATACTAGTGATCTGTATTATCCAAAAGAAAATAGTTGCGTTGGGCCAGTTAAACGTGACTTGTTATTACGAAGTATAAGCTATGGCGTTAAAAGTATGAGAAAAAAAGGAAAAAATGCCATGTAGACTGCACAGCTACGAACGGTGTTGCGTGGATGATTATCCCATGATAGGATGGATTTGGAGGAGTTAAAGACGTAACGACAACTTTTATATTAGTCATTGGTATGCCTGGGGTGCGGACGGAGGAACCGTCGGGGTACGGTCACGTGAGCACCAAAATTTATTGGATGGATAGATTACCAAATTTTTTTTAAGTATGGTGCGTTGTGCTCTACTACCAACTGCGTTCGCGTTGTCTCCTATTTATACGGAACATGTTAAATTGCAATAAAGTGGTAGTGGTAGTGGTATAGTGGTAGTATATACTACACTGTAAAAAAGTAGCAATGTCAACTTCTGCTACCACTACCACCGCCGTCAACACCACTACCACTACTTATAGCGCTTATATCATTTTTTCTATTTTTACCAGCCCCTATAAAGAAAAGAAAAATACAATAAAAAGAAAAACAAAATTAAAAAATAAAAGTAAATGTAAATATGTGAGGACTAACATGGTAAAAATTATTTAGACTTCCAGACTACCTTTCCAAACGCTTTTGACATACCTCCCCGGTCTGCTCCTTTGTTGTTGATGCATCGGAACGAGAACCAGTCATACTAGTGATCTGTATTATCCAAAAGAAAATAGTTGCGTTGGGCCAGTTAAACGTGACTTGCTATTACGCAGTATAAGCTATGGCGTTAAAAGTATGAGACAAAAAGAAAAAAATGCCATGTAGACTGCACAGCTACGAACGGTGTTGCGTGGATGATTATCCCATGATAGGATGGATTTGGAGGAGTTAAAGACGTAACGACAACCTTTATATTAGACATTGGTATGCTTGGAGTGCGGACGGACGAACCGTCCGGGTACGGTCACGTGAGTAAAAAAATTTGATCGGATGGATAGATTACTAACTTTTCTTTCAGTATGGAGCGTTGTGCTCTACTACTAACTGCGTTCGCGTTTTCTCCTATTTATACGGAACATGCTAAATTGCAATAAAGTTGTAGTGGTGGTGGTAGAGTGGTAGTCTATACTACATGATAGTAAAGTGGCAATGTCAACTCCTACTACGACTACCACCGCCGCCACCACCGCCACCACTACTTATAGCGCTTATATCATTTTTTCTATTTTTACCAGCGCATAAAAAGAAAAAAAAATACAATAAAAAGAAAAACAAAATTAAAAAATAAAAGTAACTGTAAATATGAGAGGACTAACATTGTAAAAATTATTCAGACTTCCAGAATACCTTTCCAAACGCTTTTGACATACCTCTCCGGTCTGCTCCTTTGTTGTTGATGCATCGTAACCAGAATCAACCATACTAGAGATCTGTATCATGCAATATAAATAGTTGCATTGGGCCAGTTAAACGTGACTTGCTATTACGCAGTATAAGCTATGGCTTTAAAAGTATGAGAAAAAAAGCAACAAATGCCATATAGACTGCACAGCTACGAACGGTGTTGCATGGATGACTATTCCATGATATCATGGATTTGAAGGAGTTAAAGACGTAAAGACAACTTTTATATTAGTCATTGGTATGCCTGGGGTGCGGAAGGATGAACCGTCGGGGTACGGTCACGTGAGTAACAAAAGTTATTGGATGGATACATTACCAAATTTTTTTTAAGTATAAGGCGTCGTGCTCTACTACCAACTGCGTTCGCGTTTTCTCCTATTTATACGGAACATGTTAAAGTGCAATAAAGTGGTAATGGTAGTGGTATAGTGGTAGTATTTACTACATTGTAGTAAGGTAGCAATGTCAACTTCTACTTCCACTACCACCGCCGCGACCACCACCACCACAACCACTAATTATAGAGCTTATATCATTTTTTTTATTTTTACCAGCGCATAAAAAGAAAAAAAAATACAATAAAAAGAAAAACAAAGTTAAAAAATAAAAGTAAATGTAAATATGAGAGGACTAACATTGTAAAAATTATTTAGACTTCCAGACTACCTTTCCAAACGCTTTTGACATACCTCTCCGGTCTGCTCCTTTGTTGTTGATGCATCGTAACCAGAATCAACCATACTAGAGATCTGTATCATGCAATATAAATAGTTGCATTGGGCAAGTTAAACGTGACTTGCTATTATGCAGTATAAGCTATGGCTTTAAAAGTATGAGAAAAAAAAGCAACAAATGCCATGTAGACTGCACAGCTACGAACGGTGTTGCATGGATGACTATTCCATGTTTTTATGGATTTGAAGCAGTTAAAGACGTAACGACAACTTTTACATTAGACATTGGTATGCTTGGAGTGCGAACGGACGAACCGTCCGGGTACGGTCTCGTGAGTAAAAATATTTGATCGGATGGATAGATTACTAATTTTTTTTTCAGTATGGGGCGTTGTGCTCTACTACTAACTGCGTTCCCGTTTTCTCGTATTTATACGGAACATGCAAAATTCCAATAAAGTTGTAGTGGTGGTGGTAGAGTGGTAGTCTATACTACATGGTAGTAAACTAGCAATGTCAACTTCTACTACCACTAGCACCGCCGCTACCACCACCACCACTACTTATAGCGCTTATATCATTTTTTCTATTTTTAGCAGCGCATAAAAAGAAAAAAAAATACAATAAAAAGAAAAACAAAATTAAAAAATAAAAGTAAATGTAAATATGAGAGGACTAACATTGTAAAAATTATTTAGACTTCCAGACTACCTTTCCAAACGCTTTTGACATACCTCTCCGGTCTGCTCCTTTGTTGTTGATGCATCGTAACCAGAATCAACCATACTAGAGATCTGTATCATGCAATATAAATAGTTGCGTTGGGCCAGTTAAACGTGATTTGCTATTACGCAGTATAAGTTATGGCTTTAAAAGTATGAGAAAAAAAGGAACAAATGCCATGTAGACTGCACAGCTACGAACGGTGTTGCATGGATGACTATTCCATGATATCATGGATTTGAAGGAGTTAAAGACGTAAAGACAACTTTTATATTAGTCATTGGTATGCCTGGGGTGCGGAAGGATGAACCGTCGGGGTACGGTCACGTGAGTAACAAAAGTTATTCTATGGATACATTACCAAATTTTTTTTAAGTATAAGGCGTTGTGCTCTACTACCAACTGCGTTCGCGTTTTCTCCTATTTATACGAAACATATTAAACTGCAATAAAGTGGTAATGGTAGTGGTATAGTGGTAGTATTTACTACATTGTAGTAAGGTAGCAATATCAACTTCTACTCCCACTACCACCGCCGCCACCACCACTACCACCACCACTAATTATAGAGCTTATATCATTTTTTCTATTTTTACCACCGCATAAAAAGAAAAAAAAAATACAATTAAAAGAAAAACAAAATTAAATAATAAAAGTAAATGTAAATATAAGAGGACTAACATTGTCAAAATTATTTAGACTTCCAGACTACCTTTCCAAACGCTTTTGACATACCTCTCCGGTCTGCTCCTTTGTTGTTGATGCATCGTAACCAGAATCAACCATACTAGAGATCTGAATCATGCAATATAAACAGTTGCATTGGGCCAGTTAAACGTGACTTGCTATTACGCAGTATAAGCTATGGCTTTAAAAGTATGAAAAAAAAAGCAACAAATGCCATGTAGACTGCACAGCTACGAACGGTGTTGCATGGATGACTATTCCATGATATCATGGATTTGAAGGAGTTAAAGACGTAACGACAACTTTTATATTAGACATTGGTATGCTTGGAGTGCGGACGGACGAACCGTCGGGGTACGGTGACGTGAGTAAAAATATTTGATCGCATGGATAGATTACTAATTTTTTTTTCAGAATGGGGCGTTGTGCTCTACTACTAACTGCGTTCGCGTTTTCTCCTATTTATACGGAACATGCTAAATTGCAATAAAGTTGTAGTGGTGGTGGTAGAGTGGTAGTCTATACTACATGGTAGTAGAGTAGCAATGTCAACTTCTACTACGACTATCACCGCCGCCACCACCACCACCACTACTTATAGCGCTTATATCATTTTTTCTATTTTTACCAGCGCATAAAAAGAAAAAAAATACAATAAAAAGAAAAACAAAATTAAAAAATAAAAGTAAATGTAAATATGAGAGGACTAACATTGTAAAAATTATTTAGACTTCCAGACTACCTTTCCAAACGCTTTTGACATACCTCTCCGGTCTGCTCCTTTGTTGTTGATGCATCGTAACCAGAATCAACCATACTAGAGATCTGTATCATTCAATATAAATAGTTGCATTGGGCCAGTTAAACGTGACTTGCTATTACGCAGTTTAAGCTACGGCTTTAAAAGTATGAGAAAAAAAGGAACAAATGCCATATAGACTGCACAGCTACGAACGGTGTTCCATGGATGACTATTCCATGATATCATGGATTTGAAGGAGTTAAAGACGTAACGACAACTTTTATATATGTCATTGGTATGCCTGGGGTGCGAAAGGATGAACCGTCAAGGTACGGTCACGTGAGTAACAAAAGTTATTGGATGGATACATTACCAAATTTTTTTTAAGTATAAGGCGTTGTGCTCTACTACCAACTGCGTTCGCGTTTTCTCCTATTTATACGGGACATGTTAAAGTGCAATAAAGTGGTAATGGTAGTGGTATAGTGGTAGTATTTACTACATTGTAGTAAGGTAGCAATGTCAACTTCTACTTCCACTACCACGGCCGCCACCACCACCACCACCACCACTAATTATAGAGCTTATATAATTTATTCTATTTTTACCCGCGTATAAAAAGAAAAACAAAATACAATAAAAAGAAAAACAAAATTAAAAAATAAAAGTAAATGTAAATATAAGAGGACTAACATTGTCAAAATTATTTAGACTTCCAGACTACCTTTCCAAACGCTTTTGACATACCTCTCCGGTCTGCTCCTTTGTTGTTGATGCATCGTAACCAGAATCAATCATACTAGAGATCTGTATCATGCAATATAAATAGTTGCATTGGGCCAGTTAAACGTGACTTGCTATTATGCAGTATAAGCTATTGCTTTAAAAGTATGAGAAAAAAAGCAACAAATGCCATGTAGACTGCACAGCTACGAACGGTGTTGCATGGATGACTATTCCATGATATCATGGATTTGAAGGAGTTAAAGACGTAACGACAACTTTTATATTAGACAATGGTATGCTTGGAGTGCGAACGGACGAACCGTCCGGGTACGGTCACGTGAGTAAAAATATTTGATCGGATGGATAGATTACTAATTTTTTTTTCAGTATGGGGCGTTGTGCTCTACTACTAACTGCGTTCGCGTTTTCTCGTATTTATACGGAACATGCTAAATTGCAATAAAGTTGTAGTGGTGGTGGTAGAGTGGTAGTCTATACTACATGGTAGTAAAGTAGCAATGTCAACTTCTACTACGACTACCACCGCCGCCGCCACCACCACCACTACTTATAGCGCTTATATCATTTTTTCTATTTTTAGCAGCGCATAAAAAGGAAAAAAAAATACAATAAAAAGAAAAACAAAATTAAAAAATAAAAGTAAATGTAAATATGAGAGGACTAACATTGTAAAAATTATTTAGACTTCCAGACTACCTCTCCAAACGCTTTTGACATACCTCTCCGGTCTGCTCCTTTGTTGTTGATGCATCGTAACCAGAATCAATCATACTAGAGATCTGTATCATGCAATATAAATAGTTGCATTGGGCCAGTTAAACGTGACTTGCTATTATGCAGTATAAGCTATTGCTTTAAAAGTATGAGAGAAAAAGCAACAAATGCCATGTAGACTGCACAGCTACGAACGGTGTTGCATGGATGACTATTCCATGATATCATGAATTTGAAGGAGTTAAAGACGTAACGACAACTTTTATATTAGACAATGGTATGCTTGGAGTGCGAACGGACGAACCGTCCGGGTACGGTCACGTGAGTAAAAATATTTGATCGGATGGATAGATTACTAATTTTTTTTTCAGTATGGGGCGTTGTGCTCTACTACTAACTGCGTTCGCGTTTTCTCGTATTTATACGGACCATGCTAAATTGCAATAAAGTTGTAGTGGTGGTGGTAGAGTGGTAGTCTATACTACATGGTAGTAAAGTAGCAATGTCAACTTCTACTACGACTACCACCGCCGCCACCACCACCACCACTACTTATAGCGCTTATATCATTTTTTCTATTTTTAGCAGCGCATAAAAAGGAAAAAAAAATACAATAAAAAGAAAAACAAAATTAAAAAATAAAAGTAAATGTAAATATGAGAGGACTAACATTGTAAAAATTATTTAGACTTCCAGACTACCTCTCCAAACGCTTTTGACATACCTCTCCGGTCTGCTCCTTTGTTGTTGATGCATCGTAACCAGAATCAATCATACTAGAGATCTGTATCATGCAATATAAATAGTTGCATTGGGCCAGTTAAACGTGACTTGCTATTATGCAGTATAAGCTATTGCTTTAAAAGTGTGAGAAAAAAAGCAACAAATGCCATGTAGACTGCACAGCTACGAACGGTGTTGCATGGATGACTATTCCATGATATCATGGATTTGAAGGAGTTAAAGATGTAACGACAACTTTTATATTAGACAATGGTATGCTTGGAGTGCGAACGGACGAACCGTCCGGGTACGGTCACGTGAGTAAAAATATTTGATCGGATGGATAGATTACTAATTTTTTTTTTCAGTATGGGGCGTTGTGCTCTACTACTAACTGCGTTCGCGTTTTCTCGTATTTATACGGAACATGCTAAATTGCAATAAAGTTGTAGTGGTGGTGGTAGAGTGGTAGTCTATACTACATGGTAGTAAAGTAGCAATGTCAACTTCTACTACGACTACCACCGCCGCCACCACCACCACCACTACTTATAGCGCTTATATCATTTTTTCTATTTTTACCAGCGCATAAAAAGGAAAAAAAATACAATAAAAAGAAAAACAAAATTAAAAAATAAAAGTAAATGTAAATATGAAAGGACTAACATTGTAAAAATTATTTAGACTTCCAGACTACCTCTCCAAACGCTTTTGACATACCTTTCCGGTCTGCTCCTTTGTTGTTGATGCATCGTAACCAGAATCAACCATACTAGAGATCTGTATCATGCAATATTAATAGTTGCATTGGGCCAGTTAAACGTGACTTGCTATTACGCAGTATAAGTTATGGCTTTAAAAGTATGAGAAAAAAAGCAACAAATGCCATGTAGACTGCACAGCTACGAACGGTGTTGCATGGATGACTATTCCATGATATCATGGATTTGAAGGAGTTAAAGACGTAACGACAACTTTTATATTAGTCATTGGTATGCCTGGGGTGCGGAAGGATGAACCGTCGGGGTACGGTCACGTGAGTAACAAAAGTTATTGGATGGATACATTACCAAATTTTTTTTAAGTATAAGGCGTTGTGCTCTTCTACCAACTGCGTTCGCGTTTTCTCCTATTTGTACGGAACATGTTAAAGTGCAATAAAGTTGTAGTGGTGGTGGTAGTCTGGTAGTCTATACTACATGGTAGTAAAGTAGCAATGTCAACTTCTACTACCACTACCACCGCCGCCACCACCACCACCACCACCACTAATTATAGAGCTTATATCATTTTTTCTATTTTTACCAGCGCATAAAAAAAAAAAACAAATACAATAAAAAGAAAAACAAAATTAAATAATAAAAGTAAATGTAAATATGAGAGGGCTAACATTGTAAAAATTATTTAGACTTCCAGACTACCTTTCCAAACGCTTTTGACATACCTCTCCGGTCTGCTCCTTTGTTGTTGATGCATCGTAACCAGAATCAACCATACTAGAGATCTGTATCATGCAATATAAATAGTTGCATTGGGCCAGTTAAACGTGACTTGCTATTACGCAGTATAAGCTATGGCTTTAAAAGTATGAGAAAAAAAGCAACAAATGCCATGTAGACTGCACAGCTTCGAACGGTGTTGCATGGATGACTATTCCATGATATCATGGATTTGAAGGAGTTAAAGACGTAACGACAACTTTTATATTAGACATTGGTATGCTTGGAGTGCGGACGGACGAACCGTCCGGGTACGGTCACGTGAGTAAAAAAATTTGATCGCATGGATAGATTACTAATTTTTTTTTCAGAATGGGGCGTTGTGCTCTACTACTAACTGCGTTCGCGTTTTCTCCTATTTATACGGAACATGTTAAAGTGCAATAAAGTGGTAATGGTAGTGGTATAGTGGTAGTATTTACTACATTGTAGTAAGGTAGCAATGTCAACTTCTACTACCACTAGCACCGCCGCCACCACCACCACCACCACCACTAATTATAGAGCTTATATCATTTTTTCTATTTTTACCAGCGCATAAAAAAAAAAAAAAATACAATAAAAAGAAAAACAAAATTGAAAAAAAAAGGAAATGTAAATATGAGAGGAATAACATTGTAAAAATTATTTAGACTTCCAGACTACCTTTCCAAACGCTTTTGACATACCTCTCCGGTCTGCTGCTTTTTTGTTGCTGCATCGGAACAAGAACCAGTCATACTAGTGATCTGTATTATCCAAGAGAAAATAGTTGCGTTGGGCCAGTTAAACGTGACTTGCTATTACGAAGTACAAGCTATGACGTTGAAAGTATGAGAAAAAAAGGAAAAAATGCCATGTAGACTGCACAGCTACGAACGGTGTTGCATGGATGATTATCCCATGATATCATGGATTTGGAGGAGTTACAGACGTAACGACAACTTTTATATTATACATTGGTATACCTGTGGTTCGGACGGACGAACCGTCGGGGTAACGGTCACGTGAGTACCAAAATTTATCGGATAGATAGAGTACCCAATTTTTTTTAAGTATGGGGCGTTGTGCTCTACTACTAACTGCGTTCGTGCTATTCATACGGAACAGGTTAAATTGATATAAAGTGGTAGTGGTATAGTGATAGTATATACTACACTGTAGTAAAGTAGCAATGTCAACTTTTACTATGACTACCACCGCCGTTACCACCACTACCACTACTTATAGCGCTTATATCGTTTTTTCTATTTTTACCAGCCTTTAAAAAGAAAATAAAATACGATAAAAAGAAAAACAAATTTAAAAAAAAAAGTAAATGTAAATATGTGAGGTCTAACATTGTAAAAATTATTTAGACTTCCAGACTACCTTTCCAAACGCTTTTCACATACCTCTCCGGTCTGCTTCTTTGCTGTTGCTGCATCGGAACGAGAACCAGTCATACTAGTGATCTGTATTATCCAAGAGAAAATAGTTGCGTTGGGCCAGTTAAACGTGACTTCCTATTACGAAGTACAAGCTATGGCGTTGAAAGTATGAGAAAAAAAGGAAAAAATGCCATGTACACTGCACAGCTACAAAAGGTGTTGCGTGGATGATTATCCCATGATATCATTGATTTGGAGGAGTTAAAGACGTAACGACAACTTTTATATTAGTCATTGGTATGCCTGGGGTGCGAACGGAGGAACCGTCGGGGTACGGTCACGTGAGTACCAAAATTTATTGGATGGATAGATTACCAATTTTTTTTTAAGTATGGGGCGTTGTGCTCTACTACCAACTACGTTCGCGTTTTCTCCTATTTATACGGCACATGTTAAATTGCAATAAAGTGGTAGTGGTAGTGGTATAGTGGTAGTATTTACTACATTGTAGTAAGGTAGCAATGTCAACTTCTACTACCACTACCACCGCCGCCACCACCACCACCACCACCACTAATTATGGCGCTTATATCATTTTTTCTATTTTTACCATCGAATGAAAAGAAAAACAAAATACAATAAAAAGAAAAACAAAATTAAAAAATAGAAGTGAATGTAAATATGAGAAGACTAACATTGTTAAAATTATTTAGACTTCCAGACTACCTTTACAAACGCTTTTGACATACCTCTCCGGTCTGCTGCTTTCTTGTTGATACATCGTAACCAGAATCAGTCATAGTAGAAATCTGTATCATGCAATAGAAGTTAGTTGCCTTGGGCCAGTTAAACGTGACTTGCTATTAGGCAGTATAAGCTATGGCTTTAAAAGTATGAGAGAAAAAGCAACAAATGCGATGTAGAATGCACAGCTACGAACGGTGTTGCATGGATGATTATCCCATGATATCATGGATTTGGAGGAGTTAAAGACGTAACGACAACTTTTATATTATACATTGGTATGCCTGTGGTTCAAACGGACGGACAGACGAACCGTCGGGGTACGGTCTCGTGAGTACTAAATTTTATTGGATGGGTAGATTACCAAATTTTATTAAGTATGGGGCGTTGTGCTCTACTACTAACTGCGTTCGTGCTATTCATACGGAACAGGTTAAATTGATATAAAGTGGAAGTGGTATAGTGGTAGTATATACTACACTGTAGTAAAGTAGCAATGTCAACTTCTACTACGACTACCACCGCCGCCACCACCACCACCACTAATTATAGCGCTTATATCATTTTTGCTATTTTTACCAGCCCTTAAAAAAATAAAATACCATAAAAAGAAAAACAAAATTAAAAAATACAATTAAATGTAACTATGTGAGGACTAACATTGTAAAAATTATTTAGACTTCCAGACTACCTTTCCAAACGCTTTTGACATACCTCTCCGGTCTGCTCCTTTGTTGTTGATGCATCGGAACTAGAACCAGTCATACTAGTGATCTGTATTATCCGAGAGAAATTAGTTGCGTTTTGTCAGTTAAACGTGACTTGCTATTACGCAGTATAAGCTATGGCGTTAAAAGTATGAAAAAAAAGGAAAAAATGCGATGTAGACTGCACAGCTACGAACGGTGTTGCGTGGATGATTATCCCATGATATCATGGATCTGGATGAGTTAAAGCTG